TTTACTCTGTATCTAAGCCCCTGTGCCTGGGAGTGTTTGATGGGGGGTTGGGGGGGAACACAGTATGAGACACAGCCAGTCAAAACCTCACATTACGAAGAGATTGAAATTCACTGAAACAAGATTTGAAATAAAATACAGGGAAAGGAATTGATGCTGTGTTGAAATTATTGCTGAACTGTTCTAAACCCAAGGAGAATGGTGAATTTGTTTGTATCCCAGCTCTCACTGATCAAATTCCTGTTGATGTAAGTCCCCCGTTCACCCACACACCCCTCCCCGCGGGAGTGAGACCCCTGTTCTCCCCCTCTCTCCCTACGGGGAGCGAGTCCCACGTTCTCTTTCTCCCCCCCCCCCCCCCCACTTCTTGCGGGAGCAAGTCTCCCCTGTTCTTCCCCTCCCCATGGGAGCATGTCGCCCATTCTCCCCGTGGGAAGACATTTCTCCTGAAATCCCCAATTGCTTTTATTCGCAGCTGTCTGTGTGCAATATTCCCAGTAGGGATACAGGGATAGTAACTGTACGCCGTCACATGTGGGATGCAAAGTCGGGAACTGTGCGTTGTATTCCTAGTGGGATATGCGAACTCAAACGCTATGGTATTCCCAGTCGCATGCGTAGATGGGAAAAAGCATACAGTCTTCCCAGTGGGATAGGGAGATGGGAACTGTGCGCAGTATTCCCAGTGGGAATGTGCAGTCTAGAACACTGCACGGTATTTCCAGTGCAGTACGGAGACGGGGACTGTGCACGGTATTCCCAGCGGGATACGGAGGCAGGAACTGAACGCAGTCTTGCCAGATGGAAACTCCACGGGTCTAAGCAGTACCGATATGACCAACCCAACAGCAATACCTTTGGTGACGTGCTCAACTCGAGATACAGAATCAGCTGGGTCTGCTGTATTCGGGTTTAATCTGACCGCTTCAGGATGGTCAGCGCTCAAAGAAACATTGACTCTTTGTTCAAAAGAGATTAAACTCCCAAGTAAACAGTGGACGGAGAGAAATCAGTTAATGATTACTGTCCATGCTCCCGTGTTATCTAACCCAGAGCAGTCTCTGCCCCCTGCCCCCATTTGAAATTTCAATGTTTCTGACACCCCCCCCACAATGAAACCACAGAAAGTGCCCGCTTCCCTCGGCGCCGACCCTCCCGCAGTACGCGCTCCCCTCGGCGCCGACCCTCCCGCGGCGCCCCGCTCCCCTCGTCGCCACCCCTCCCACAGCGCCCTGCTCCCCTCAGCGCCGACCCTCGCCCTCCCTGTGTGGTTGTTGGTACAAATTGGCGATACACTGCTCAGCAAAACAACAGCCCAGAGTGGGTACACGGGGGTGATTGAACTTATTTTAGAGAGGGACAGGAGTTATGTTTTGGACCTGCCCTGTGTCAGGTCAAGAGTTAATGATTGATGGCCGCAGGATGTTGTGTGGATAGTGCAGCATGAGCTGCCAGACCCAAGGCAGAAATTGCAGACATGAGGACCCCTGTGTTGCTACTCTGTCTCCTCATTGCCTCCCTCGGAGATTCCATCTGGGCCCATAAAACGAAGGGTGACTGAGTGCTGTTCATCAGGAATTTCTCTCTCTCTCTCTTCCTCACTGCCCCCTATCGTCTCCCGCTCGCTCGCTCTCTCCTTGTCTCTTGCTTACTCTCCTCCTATCTCTGTCTCGCTCTCTCACTTGCTCTCTCCCCGTCTCTCGCTCGCTCGCTCTCTCCCTGTCTCTCTCTCGCTCGCTCGCTCCCTCCCCGTCTCTCTCTCGCTCGCTCCCTCCCCGTCTCTCTCTCGCTCGCTCGCTCCCTCCCCGTCTCTCTCTCGCTCGCTCGCTCCCTCCCCGTCTCTCTCCCGCTCGCTCGCTCTCTCCCTGTCTCTTGCGTACTCTCCTCCTATCTCTGTCTCGCTCTCTCACTTGCTCTCTCCCCGTCTCTCGCTCGCTCGCTCTCTCCCTGTCTCTCTCTCGCTCGCTCGCTCTCTCCCCGTCTCTCGCTCGCTCGCTCTCTCCCTGTCTCTCTCTCGCTCGCTCGCTCTCTCCCCGTCTCTCGCTCGCTCGCTCTCTCCCTGTCTCTCTCTCGCTCGCTCGCTCCCTCCCCGTCTCTCTCTCGCTCGCTC